AGGCACGTTTTTCACACAAAGTGCCTGGAACGTGCTGCCAGAGGAAGCAGACACTGTAGCAGCATTGAAGATGCACCTAGACACATACATGAATAGGAAGGGAATAGAGGGATACAGATCCTGTTAGTGAAGATAGTTTTAGTATGGAAGGGCAAAATGTGTCGGCGCAGGCTTGGAGGGCCGAGTGGCCTGTTCCTGTGCTGTACTGTTCGAGCTCTGACACAGCAGCAGCCTCACCGTTCCACACTGAGGAAGTGATATAGAGCATTCAGAGCTCAGTTGCCTGCACTCTGCACTGTACAGAGATAGCTGTGTTTAATGGCTATGACCCTTGATTTGTTTTTCAGTATCGACGCTTTCGCTCCGTGGAAGCACTGAGGAACAGGGTGTTTGAGGCAGTGAATCATATTAACCTGGTAAGTCACTGTAGAGTGACATCAGACACTGCTTCTGCTTTCCCACTGATGGGACAGCTGCTGCTCCCATTCCAATCGATGTTTAACCTTTCTTAAAACAGTTTCCACATTTGATTTTCATTGCTTTTTTCCAGTGCTTTCTGCAATCCTCGCTCAAGGATTGTGCTCATCTTTTCTTTCTCAGAAGCAGCAGACTAATATTTTTTATTTGAGCCTTTCCCTTGCAGCTTCTGTTGCAAAAGACTAATCCATCCTTCATTTATCACAAAGCTCCCAAGCTCTGCTTCACCTGAAGACTGGGAGCATTCTCTCTTGGAGAACATAGCTTCGGATTTCTAGCTATCACTCAGTCCTGTCTCTTGGACATTGCTGCTGGAGCACTAACGTACAATGTAAAGATTGTAGAGATTCTCTGCAGACTGACAAATGATATTTCAATGCTACTTCAAATGTTAAGGTGCTTGGCATTTTTTTTTTCAATTAAGACGTCCCCTCCATGACTAAAACTTTTGCTTGAACTTTCATAGCTGACCAAGAGAAAAGGGTACCACTGGAAAGACACGTTTATGGCCCTGTCCCTAGTTGCTCCTTGAGAAGGTGGGGGTGAGCTGCCTTCTTGAACCGCTGCAGTCCATGTGCTGTAGGTCGACCCACAATGCCCTGAGGGAGTGAATCCCAGGATTTTGACCCAGCGACAGTGACATATTTCCCAGCCAGGACAGAGAATGTGAGGGACTGATAGTTTTCCCATACTTTTGGTACAAATACACGACAACATAATTCTTTGAAGTTTGCGTCACATATAGACAGGGTGGTTAAGAAAGTGTTTAGCACACTTGCCTTCATTGCTCAGACCTTTGATTACAGGAGCTGGACGTTATGTTGAGGTTGGTGACACCTCTTCTGGAGTAGTGTGTCCAGTTCTGGTTGCCCTGCTACAGGAAGGGTATTATTCAGCTGGACAGGGCTCAGAAAAGATTTACCAGGATGTTGCCGGGAGTTTGAGTTATAAGGAGAGGCTGGATAGACTGAGACTTTTTCCACTGGAGCACAGGAGGTTGAAGGGTGGCCTTATGGAGGTTTACAAATTCATAAGGGGTATAAACAAGGTGAATGGCAGGTGTCTTGAGGATGGGGTTTTCAAGATCAGGGGGCGTATTTTTAAGGTGAGAGGAGAAAGATTTAAAAAAGACATGAGGGGCAACTTGTTTACACATACAGTTGTTTGTGTGTGGAATGAACTTCCTGAGGAAGTGGTGGAGGTGGATACAGTTACAACATTTAAAAGATATTTGAATAAGTACATGAATAACAAATGTCTGGAGGGATATGAGCCAAGTGCAGGCAGGTAGGACTAGTTTATTTTGGGAGCATGGTTGACGTGGACTGGTTGGACCAAATGATCTATTTCCGAGCTGTATGACTCTATGACTCAATAACCTGTCGCACTTGTTCATTTCAATGGTGAAACTGTTGTTCCTTCTTTGTTTTAAACACAGTCTTTTTGTCTTGCCCAGTCATCCTATGTGGGCATTTATCCAAAGAGCAAACACCCAAAATGTTGAAATGATCTGATTGGGTTCAATCATTCACCCGATGAAGTTTGTGCACTGCGTGTTAAATAAACCGATAGGCACGTGTGGAATCCAGCGGTGGAGAAGATGAACGAAGGTTTCAGTGTAAATTGACAGTTTAGCACAAACGACAGTTTCCCCACTGGAACCAATCCCCCAGTGGAGAAGAAGTCAGCTCTTTAGTACACAATCCAGTGAACATCTCTTGCACTGAGGCCCATTCTGGTTAACGCTTAAAGGATCCCAAATTCTCTAACACTGATGAAGGCGTTCCTTCTGCTTTCTTTAATGATTGTTGATGCTTTGGGGGACGGTACCGCTGTTACCAAGATGTTTCAATAAGAAGTTAGATCTTGGCAAAAATCACTACTCAGCTTGTGTTACTGGATTGCTCCCAAGTGGGGTCTAAATTAGCAATTGTACAGCCAAATCGGGAATTGTCCCCTTGGTGGGTCAGGAGTTCAGGATGCAAAGCTGGGAGTGTCACCTTCTGAGATGTGACTGAAGGGGCCAACCTTTGTACAAAGGTGGAGTACCCCCATGCCTGGATGGAAGCCCAATACAGAAGTCCTAATGACACTGAGGCTGAAAAGAATGGGCAGGAGTCCATTTCCTCTGTCACTGTCGCTCTGCACTTTTCTGGAGTCACCGAGAAAGAGGAACAAATTTGCATTTGGAGTGAATGAGACAACCTCGGGACTTTTTTTGAAACAGTGGGTGGCCAGTGAGGGAATTTTGAAATGCAGGCTCTCCCGTCACGACAGCTGCTTCCTGACAAAGCATGGCCCAGGTCGCCTTCCCTTGTGTGACAGAGAAAAGGCAGACTTTAATTCAACAAGCTCTTCCTTCTTTAACCCTTTAGGTAACCAACACTCGATATATTCACTGCAGCATTTTCTTCGAACTTCAACTTTAATTCACTTCATTTAACCTCACCTGACTTTAACTTAATTCACTTTTAGCCCGAACTCCATCTTTAACTCGATAAGTCAGGCCCAAAACAAATACTGCCCGGATTCGAGGGATGTGGCCATGATTTGCTTTCGGAGCAGATTTTGCTTCATGGTTTGTTGGCCTCTCTGAAGGTAACTTTGGGCCATGTCCTCTTCAAATGTTGGACACTACAGCCATTCCTGCAAAATCCAGTCCTACACTAACTTTTATCTCAAAATGTGCCCGTCCTTCCAGAACCTTCTCTGGCACTCAGCCAATGAATTGACCGAAGCCCTGATCACATGGTTGGATCCCGGCCAATGGAGTTGACAGGTAGACAGCTCCCGAATGTTTACACCAAGTCGTAAACAGCCACGTTCCGTGCCCTGTAGATGGTGACAGTTTGTCTAGCAGATACCACCATGACACCTCCCTTGTTTGATCAAAACAGGAAACTGCAGGTCACAGATTGCAGGTCAGCTCACTACGTGACCCGGCTGCAGTTTTAACCGAGGTCAGAGTTCAAACCCACTTGACCAACATTCCCAGCATGCTTGATTGCAGCTCTGAACCAGTCTTATTGCTATTTCTGTTGCTGGCCATCTGACCGCACCAGTGACTGCCCATCGTTCTTGGACCGAGACACCAATCCTCAACCGAAGTCCCTCTGTCCACTCTAGAGAAGACACACTTCCCTTTCTGTCTCTCCCCACAGCTTTACAAACCGTTGAGGACACACGTGGCTTTGATTGGTCTGGAGATCTGGTCCAACGGCGACCAGTTCTTAGTTGAAAAGGATTCTGGTCGCACTCTGACGAACATGTTGGAGTGGCGCAGAATGAAATTGCTGCCAAGAAAGGAACATGACAACATCCAATTCATCACGTAAGTCTCAGCGCTACCTCTGGGAGCCAGCCTCCCAGTTCCTGTTTTATTTCTGTTGTTGCTCAGGACAGCATTGACTGTGGAGGGTTAGGAAGCAGCATTGCTGCCCAACAGAAGAGTCCTGCTTATCCTTTCCTGGCCTCTGCAGATACACAAAGTAAACCAAGGCAGGTAGCTCTTTATCGTGTTGTCCATTCTATTGTTAAGATATATGAGCGTGGACTAAATTTTTGTTTAATCAAGGAGAAAAAGCAAGAAAGTGGAGTTTAAGATCATTAGATCTGCCGTGATCTCATTTCAAGGTGGTGTAGATTCGACGGGCTGAATGGCCTATTTCTGCTTCTGTTCTTTGGTGAAGGACGCAGTTTGAGCACTGATTAAGAGATACTGTGGACAAAGTGAGCGCTGGTAAGGAGAGACTGCCTACCTGTCTGCTCTGGATATGTCCTTGGCCTTGCGAAGGGAGGAGGACATGATGTCTCATGGTACATATGAGGCCATCTGCGATAGGGGGAACCACAGGCACTGGAAATACACGACATCTACCCTCTCCCCACCCCTCCAACCTCACACCAACGAGTAAATATTTCCTTTGATGGCTGACCGGGGAAGCCCTGTGCGCGGGTTTATGTTGGGAACTGGCAGCTCGCCAGAGCTGAGATGGCTATGGAGGAAGCTCCCCTTTTCCCAAACTACAAGGTGTTATTTCCGGGGAGGTCCGCGGTGGTCGCAGTGAAGCGAAGAATCAGTTCGTCTTTCTGTCATTCCTGTTGTTGTAGGCACGTGGACTTCACTGGTGATACCATCGGCCTGGCTCAAGTGAGTGCCATGTGCACCAGAGGTTCTGGTGCTATCAACCAGGTAAGGGAGACGATGGCTTGGTGCTCGTGTCAATAGCCTGTTAATCCAGAGATCGTAGGTCAGGTCCTGGGGACCCAGGTTCAAATCCTGCCGCAGAGGGAATAGTGGAATTTGAATTCCATAAAAATCTGGAATTGCTAACACGGTGATGACAATGAAATGGTTGTCACTTGTTTGGGGGAAAGCCCATCTGCTACACTGAGGTCCTTTAGGGAAGGAAATCAGCCATGCCAACATGATCTGGCTCACATGTGACTCCAGACCCACAGTGACTAGCCAGTGAGTCCCACATCCTGTGACTAAGGAATTAAGAAGGGTCCCTTGTTTAACTAAACTCTCTGAATGGCCCAGCGATGCCACCACCATCCACAGTTGAAGAGAAGTCCCAAGGAATTGTTTGATTGGAGGACATGTGTGTATGGAGTCACCCAGTGCTCGAGCCTCCTCCAATGATGCTGATGTTCTGCCGAAAAGTGTCAGGTTCGGTTAGCAGCCACGACCGATATCCTTCTCGTCACCACCGTCGCTGAATAGTTGACAAGGCGAGTGGGAAAGTGATGGAGAACTTTGTAAAATATTTGTGCACGGGAGGAGAGCATTGCTGGCTGGGAGCGTTTTCGCTGTCCATCTCTTGTTGTCCTGGGGGTGGGGGGCGGGCAGCGTTTAGGAGTCAACCACATTGTTGTGTGCAGCAGACACACTGCTGCAGTCCTAGAGTCACGTGTAGGGCCAGACCAGCTAAGGATGGCAGATCTCCTTCCCCAGTAGGTTCAGAACAATCAGTAGTGGTCACATCATACCCCTGCCAATGTGATAGTGACTGGGAATGAGCTACCCTCTGAAAGGTACATGCATGTCACAGCTGTGTGATGTGAGATATTTCAGGCAAAATGTGAGACCAGTCCACTTTGAGGAATAGTTCCAGAGAGATGGTGGAAACACGGATCAGGGAGGTCAGGGACCATTTTGGGAAAGCGTTCAGCGGACTTTTCCAGGGCACATTCTGGCTGCAGAAGTGGCTGCCTCTCAGAGAGTGACGGGAAGAACTCAGGAGTCGGAGGAGCGTCGACGCCTCCACGGGTGGCAGGGCTGGAGCGGCTTCCCGAGGTCAGGCTGGGGCCGTGGACTGGTCTCCAAGCTGGGGTGAGGATTTTAAAACGGAGCCATTAATGCAGGCCAGCGAGAATCTGGAGCGAGAGGTGAGACAGGAGCTGGGACATTGCCAGGAGACCAGACAACTCAAAGTCTGGATGGCCTGAAGTTTCCCGAGGTCAGAGGCCAGCCAAGAGAAGGTGGAAGGAATCAGGTCCAGAGGCAAAACAGGAGAAGGCGCGAGGCCTTCTGCAGTGGATCAACTTGGGCAGGCGTGTAGCTGGGCGATATTATCTGGTGTCAAGGATGAGGAGGTTTACTGATGTCTGGGAGAGCAGGGTGCAGTTTTCGAAGTGCCCAATAGGAACCAGGGTGGGACAGCGTCTGACCTGTCTGAAATCCGCTGGCGATGGCATCAAACTGTGTACCCTCTGCTGAATGGCAAACCTCCTCCCACAGGATCATGCCAGCAACGTCCACGGAGTTGCATCGACGATGGCGCATGAGATGGGCCACAATCTGGGCATGAACCACGACGATGACACTTGCATGTGTAACTCTGAATCCTGCATCATGTCTCCAGTTCTGAGGTGAGTCTGACTGATTTCCCCTGAAGGGGTGAAGACCAGACTGAGGCCGCAGATGATTGCGTCGAAATATAGCGACATAGGAAATGGGGGCAGGTGGAGGCCATTCAGCCCTTCGAGCCCACTCTGCCATTCAATATGACCATGGCTGATCATCCAACTCAGTCCCCTGTTCCCATTTTCACCCCTAACCTTCAATCCCTTTGGCCCTAAGAACTATATCTAACTCCTCCTTGAAAACATGCAACGTTTTGGCTTTGACTGCTTTCTGTGGCAAAGAATTCCACAGGCTCCCCACTGTCCTCATCCCAGTCCTAAATGGCCTACTGTGTATCCTTAGACTGTGAGCCCTGTTTCTGAGTCCCCTGCTCATTGGGAACATCCTTCCTGCGTTTACCCCGTTTAATCCACTGAGAATTTTATAGGTTTCTTTGAGATCTCCCCCCCCCCCCCCTCTTAACTTCAGTGAACACAATTGTAACTGATCCAGAACAAAAACAGAAGTTGCTGGAAAAGCTCAGCAGGTCTGGCAGCATCTGTGAAGGAGAAAACAGAGTTAACGTTTCAGGTCCGGTGACCCTTCCTAACTGATCCAGTTTTGCCATTGCAGGAACCAGTCTGGTGAACATGCTTTGCACTCTCTTAATCACCAGAACATCATCCTGAGAAAAGGAGACCGAAACTGCACAGAATACCCCAGGTTTGGTCTCTCACCAAGGACCTGTACAATTGCAGCAAGACATCCCTGCTCCCATACTCGAGTGCTTTCGCTATGAAAGCCAACATTGAGTATGTCTCCTTCACTGCCTGCTGCACCTTTGGCAATATTACCAAAAAAAACTAGTGTGGGGAACAAAGCGCACATCTTTGTAGCTCTCCTAAAGTTCATAACCAGAGTCACAAAATATTTTTTAAGGCTTGATCACGGAGGGGGATATGCAGGAATGTAGAGTTGAGGCTTAAATCAGATTGGCCATGGCCTCATTGAATAGCAGAGCAGGCTTGAGGGGCCAAATGGCCAACTCTCATTCCTTGTTTTTATTTCTTTCTCACTGAGCCTGCTTAGCCAATAGGAAGCTCTATTCGTCAGAAACTGGTGAAGGAAGGGTGGATGGACCGGATGATTCAGTTCATTCGTTATGAACCTCTGTCCTTACAAAAAGCTGGTTTTGTGACATTTTGTTTTAACTCCATCACACCCATACAATGCAGCCTTTTTCCCTTTACAATGCAGCCATCACTTTTTTCGCAGGGATTCCTTTGCAGAGAAATAATGAGAGAAAAATTGCTCCAATTGCACACCTGAGTCACCACCCAGCCCTTCTGTCCTTTGAACTTGAACTATTCTCCTTTTTGAAATTTCTTGGTCTTGCCCAGCTTTGAAATCCTGACCATTCGAAACGCAGCCAGCTTGCCCCAGTTTCATCGCTCGCCAATGCTCTGTCCCGCCTGCAGTTTTCAGAGGGGGTGGGTAGACCAATTTAGACAGAGTCTGTACAGGAGCGAGATGGATGGTGATGGAGAGGAGTGGAGGGCTACTGTTGGGTGAATGCAGCCCCAACTCCATGGAGCGCTCGCGCCAACTGGTTCCTGGCCAGAGAGCCCCTCTGTTCTCTGAGCTCCGACCCAGCTTTCCAAGGGACAGTCCCGTTGGGTGTGAGGCTACCCTGCAGTTGGGACGGAGGGGGTGGGTTGTGTTGGAGGATGCGGCATTAAACACGAGACCCTCGTTTCCTCCTGACAGCTCGGTTCTACCAACAGAGTTTAGCAGCTGCAGCCACCTGCAATTACAGAAGTTTGTGTTGACCCATACAGCGGTATGCCTCCGCGATACACCCGAGCAGGAAGAGATTGTGGCGAGGCCGATCTGCGGGAATCGCTTCCTGGAGAGAGGGGAGGAGTGTGACTGTGGAACTCCGGAGGTAGGAAACTGGCTTTATCACTCTAGGAGCCCATCGATAAAATCAGGGGTCAACACGGGAAGGATGTTCCCCATGACTGGCCAGTTCAGAACCAGGAATTCCAGTCTGAGGGTACAGGGTAGGCCATTTAGATGAGGAGATACAGCTTCACTCAGACAGTTTGGAGTCAGTGGATTTCTTTGCCATATATAAAGTGGCTGAGGTCAAAACTTCGAATATTTTCAAGAAGGAGTGAGATATAATTCTTGTGGCTAAGGAGATAAAGGGTATGAGGAAACTGAGTTGGATGATCAGCGTACTATTGAATGATGCAGCAGGCTCAAAGGGCTGAATGGCCAACTCCTGTTCCTTATTTCTGTGTTTACCTGATTCTAAAATGATCTGGGAGAGACAGATAACAATCTGAGGGTGGCATGGTGGCTCAGTGGTAGCACTGCTACCTCACAGTGCCAGGGACCCGGGTTCGATTCTCCCATCGGGCGACTGTCTGTGTGGAGTTTGCATATTCTCCCCCTGTCCGTGTGGGTTTGCTCCAGTTTCCTCCCACAGCCCAAACCCTGTGCAGTTTGGGGTGGATTGGCCATGCTAAATTACCCCATAGTGTCAGGGGATATGCAGGTTAGGTGGGCTAGCCATGGGAAATGCGGGGTTAGGTCTTGGAGGGTTGGCGTGGGCCAAATGGCCTGCTTCTACACTGTAGGGATTCGATATTTTGTTTTGGTGTTTAATCCCCTGTGAAGTCTGTGGAAACGACACATCAACTTCCTTGGATTTTCACTCCATCCTGACTCCTTGATTTGCTTTCTCTTTGTTAATCTCCGAACGATATTGGCCTGTGAGGAAAGGGGGCAAGGAGGAAGCAGCCAATGAGAGAGTGGTCACGATGTATGGTAGTCCAATGGGCTGACGGCAATTGAGAAGAAGCTGGAGAATGGATGTTTCTCATAGTCTTGTCGCCCAAGTGTGGCAATGGTGTTTAACCTTCCTGGTGTTTTGCTATCCACAGGAGTGCCTGAACCCATGCTGTGATGCTCAGACCTGCAGGCTACGAGAGGGAGTGCAATGTGCTGAAGGTACCTGCTGCCAGGACTGTAAGGTACTTGTATTGGTTTTGCAAAGGAGGAGAATCTCCCTTGTTCCTGATAACAAATCATCCTGTGCCATCCTCTTCCTATCTCCCCGACACTTTCCCCTACTCCCTTTCTCCCTCTACCACTCTCCCCCTCCCTTTCTCCCCCTCCATTTCCCTCATTCCCTTTCTCTCCGTCCCTCACCCCTTCCCTTTCACCCCCTCCATTTCCCTCCCTCCCTTTCTCTCTGTCCCACTCCCCCTCCCTTTCTCCCCCTCCATTTCCCTCCCTCCCTTTCTCTCCATCCCTTTCTCCCTCTCCCCCTCCCTTTCTCCCCCTCCATTTCCCTCCCTCCCTTTCTGCCCCCGTCCCCACTTCCTTTCCACCCTTACCCCCCTTTGCCCTCCTTTCTCTCCCTTCCCTTTCTCCCCCGTCTCTTGTTCCCTGTACCTTTCTCAAACAGAGATTACTGATGCAGAACACACAGCATCTGTTGCCCTTTCCCCACCTCCAACTCTCTTGCCCCCATTTGGGCCTGTAACCGTTTTGATTTGAACACATTTGTGTCCTTACAATATCTCTCCTTTTCGATATTTCTCATTTCTGACAAGCATCTTCTTTACCGTGCGCATGTTCCTGCAACTGTTCTCTCTTTCCTAA